ACTATTAAAATATGGATTATTAGCTAAGATTTTATGCTATTATAATTGGTATAACATAAATAAAAAGTAGTTTAATAAAATTCTTAATGTAAGACACTAAAACCTTGTGTCATGCGTAGTGAAAGGTACCCGTGCCGAAAGAGTTATTAATGTATCAGCTGATATAAAGTTCAACTCCATGTGGTGACCGAATTGTGACTTCCAGAGAAAGCGAGAAAAAAAGAAAGTTCAAGGCAGTTATTGATAACTACTTGGGAGATTAAATGTTTGTTTGTTCGTTTTTGAATTTCGCGCAAAGCTACACGGTTGAAAGGGCGACCCTCAGATGGCGAGTCGAGTGCCCAAACCACCTGGCCATGCCAGGCTAGGACACTAAATGACAATGTACTAGGATGAAACGAAAATAATTGGTTTACAGGAAGATCTTGTATAATTTGGACCACTAGATAATCTGGCGTGGAAACATTAAGTAGCTATATTAGCGACAGGCAGTTTTTATGTTTTATAACTGAGAAATGTACTTAAAATAACTGTTATTGTAATGGATAAAAATATCACTTTATATAGATTTTCACCAGTAAACATTTTGAAAGATCTGTTGTATAGTCATAAAAAAACGAAAGACTACATGACATAGCCTCAGATGTTACGAAAAGCCAGACAGACATTTGGGTATAATCAATAGATATTAGTAATTCATGCTGAGATAGTTGTATATCTGCTCCTTCTGGAAAATCCCAGCAAAAAAGAAATCTCATTTGAATTGTAATCATGTGTTAAACAGTATATTCCTGTTATGGTAGTCCCTTTCACTTGAGCAGGATTTGAACCCGGCACCTTTCCCCCTAGCAGTGAATGCTCTTCCAGATGAGCTAAAGGGTTAAACTACTGCCAGTAGTTAAGAAGGTCATTTTTAACAACTGAAATTACAACATTGTTGCCAATGCAAAGTCGTTTGTTTTTTTGTATAATTCATTGTCAATTGTTAAACAAGTTTTTAGGCACAGCTAGTGAGAATATTTTTCTTACCTGCTTACACCGCTGATGTTATACGAAGAACTTAGTCTAGAGTACGAAGGTTCTCTTTTGTAACGGTATTCTTTACACGCTGGATCGCAAAGTGATGAGCTATCTGCAAAATGTTTTCATTCATCAAAAACTTTTATCTCCTGCTTAAATATTTGTTCATTGTTAACTTATTGTCATTTATTTATTTCGTAGATTTGTCTCCTTCAGAATTAGGACAGATTCTGTAGAATAATAAACAAGTAACAAAGGCATAACATTTAATGGTGCAGTGACAGTCTGTAGAAACACAATTATTTAGTTGACAGTGCTTTTTAAGTTGATCATATATTTTGTAAAATAATCAGAGGTGCGAAAGAAAACTAAAACCACACCCGAGTAAAAATGAACCCAAAACTTAATGTTATATGTTTGAAACCCTAAACCTAATTACAAGACGTTGTAGCTTTCTTTTTTTCTATATAAAAAAGCCAAACTAAATATATCGTGTCATATTTTTTTATGGGAACTCTAAGGCAACAAACACCGTATACAATGGCATGCTTTTGTTATAAGCACTATGTAAGTATTTCTGAAAAAAAGATGAGGTCCACAAGTTATCTATAAAGTTGTATGGACACGAATCCCCGTGACAAAATGGTAATATTTCGTCCATTTTAATATTTTCTGCCCTGCTTGCGTTCATTTATATATATATATATCTTTCATTCATGTCAGCTTCCCTCCCCTCTATCGGCCCAAGTATTGTGAGAAAACCAAGCCAAACACATAGGTAGCTTCGTAATTTTATTATCAATTCTATAAGGGAAGACACAAACTTACACCGCAGTCATGATTTTGTTATAACATCTGTAAGGAAACCAAAACTAAACTTATGGTGACGTCAAGTATTTCTTACCGGAAATATCTTCCATTTTGGGGATAATGCATCCAAGAAAATCCTCAGGTGAACAGTAGCGGAAATAATTACTGCTGTTGTCTGTAAAACCAATTTAATTATAAATATTAAAACATCATCTAGAATAAACCCTTAGGTTTATTCATTCTGTATTATGTAAAGAGACAGAAAACATTTGTTTTTAATGCACCAAGAAAAGGGGCAAGTGAAGTATTTGTGGAGTACAAATACCAAGTATATTAAATATGTGAAGGTTTCAAGAAGTACATTTTATTTATTTTTTAACGTATATAAAATAGCAGATCGAAAATGTTATAAGAAAGCGTGGGCAGAAAGTAGTAAATCGCAATACCAGATAGGGAAGATGCAAGCTTGAAGCCCATGGCAGGAGTAAGATAAAAGCAATATTCCAGTCGTGACCTGAGGGCAAAAATTCACAGCTCGCAGGCGTGGTATGTTGAGAAAACTCCAATAATTAGATAAAACCAATATCATACAATGAACCAATATCACACAAAAAAGCAGTTAATGAAATAGCGATGAAATACTACTAGCGGGTTTGTCTCTATATGCTCTAAGTTAATTGCGTTGGATGATTTCGCCAAAGATATTAGATAAGGGACAGAAATAAGTTCTGTAAGGACCATTAACAAAGTGGATTTTGATTACAGTCTGATGGAATAGTCCGCTTGTTGCCGGAAGATCCTACTTGTACCAATCGAGTTACAAGAACTACTTTTGAAAATAGATCTGCTAAACTTCTTGAACAATCGAAAAAATAGTAAAAGTTGTGTATATAATTCTGTGTTTCCGACTCTAAATTGCACTTATCAAGTTGCTCCGAGGACCTGGTCCGACTCTAGAAGAAGGTGGCAGTAATCCATAATCTACAAGAAGTTCACTGCATAAACTCCTTGTAAGTATGCTATTTCTGGTCTAGTCTAACAGTGTTTCCCTTAAGATTCAACAATGTATTAAGAGAGAAAAGTGAAGACTCAAGACTAATTGTACTAAAGAAATAGTAGATTTAAAAATGTTTAAAGTGGAATTACTTAAAGATATCTTATAATAATTGCTTATACAGATTATGATCGGGAGAATTTCTCGTGTTACCTTAATTGATAACTAATGTTGCATCTATGTTAATGAATGTAATAGAAGGGCTTATTAATGAACACTTAGACTTTCAAAATGAAGAACTCAATGCATTAGAGGTTGTGTTATCACAAGACAACCTAGAGAGTTTCGATATGAATGAAATGTTCAACAGTGTATAAATAAAGAAAATATTTGATTTGTAATTAGTTGTCTCTGTGTGAGTTCTTTATTCTGCATATAAATGTTCTCGAGTTGGTGGCTTGTGTGCTCTGCTTACAACAGCACGACCCAAAATCCAAATAAATTTCTTTGTAATGAGTGTAAAGCCCACTAAGCCCACGGGTTGTCAATACGCCTGTTAAACAAGTACTGGAGCACAGTTACAGAACCATTGTGAGAACTCACCAAAAGAAGGAGCAAGCACTGGAGCACAGTTACAGAACCATCGTGAGAACTCACCAAAAGAAGGAGCAAGCACTGGAGCACAGTTACAGAACCATCGTAAGAACTTACCAAGGGAAGGGGGCAAGCACTAGGGTACAGTTACAGAATCATCGTAAGAACTCGCCAAGGGAAGGGGGCAAGCACTAGGGTACAGTTACAGAATCATCGTAAGAACTCGCCAAGAGAAGAATCAAGCATTGGAGCACAGTTACAGAACCATCGTGAGAACTCACCAAAAGAAGGAGCAAGCACTGGAGCACAGTTACAGAATCATCGTGAGAACTTACCAAGGGAAGGGGCAAGCACTAGAGTACAGTTACAGAACGTTCGGATCAGATGGATAGCTACTTCCACTTCACAGTTTGATTTGGTGTGAGGTCTGTTGAGAATTGGGAGGACTGGTTGTTTAGCAGCGGGTAAAGATGTCGCCTGGAAGTTTAGACAGCTTCGAAGTGAAGTCATTCTAAAAAAGTGAACAAAAAATGAGCACGTTCATTGGAAAGTGTAAAGTTGTTTTAAATTGTGGTAGAAAATCGTGTTAATATTACATAACTATGCGCGAGGTTTAAAAAGTTGGGCAATAGCTCTTTCTCAAAAAACGAAAAAATAAAATCTAAGAGGATTTAAGTGGTTTTGTCGAAGAATATCATTGTTTTATTGAAAGATCGACTTGTTAGGCATTAATAATGAACATAGTTTAGCTTAACATCTTGTTTGTTTTTTGTTGTTGTTGTTTTTTAAAGGGCTTTTGAACCTTGTTTTTAGCCAAGATTCACATATAAATGCTACGTTTGATATCTAGAAACTTGTAACCTGGATCAGATGAAGCCCGAGGTTCACGATCATCCCAGGCCAAATCCCGACGCTATTCTTTATGATGGAATTTGAAGGAAACTCTCTTGGATCATGAAGAGATATGGCAACCCCTTCTTCTTCAGTTAGATGGACTGCAAAAAAACACGATCCTTATTAGAGAGAAAGTATTAGAAAAAAACAACAGATGTCATGTTTAAAGTACAGTTGAACGTTATTTGGACTACAGGTCTTCTCGCTATCTTCTTCAAATAATAAAAAAAAACATTACAAAAATTAAGTATGGTGTAGGGATGAACACATAAAACCATACAAAAATCTCCACATAAAGTTTGTTTGTTTTGAATTTCGCGCAAAGCTACACGAGGGTTATCTGCGCTAGCCGTCCCTAATT